CCCTCGGACCAGATGTTGCAGCTTACCGCGTCACAGTGGGCATAAAATAATGGCTCTCACATGCTCCCTAATGAGGGGATTGAGCGGGGCAGCCTCGACACGGTGCATGGGAGGTTGAACTGTGTGTTCTGTGATTTTCTGGGATCAAATCCCAGTCTAAATTATGCTGCCACACTCCTGTCTTTTTTGTGTGAACGCGATGAGAATCGTGACCCACCAAACTGCTAATGAAAAAAAGGGGGGGGGGGGGGGGGGGCAGAGAGATGACACGTTGAAGAGAAAGGGATGAATAGAGAGGGTGTCGGAGGAAGAGAAGAGGAAAAGCAGAGCGAGGCGTCGGGGTGGATTCTCACCAGTCCAGGTCAGATGTGTTCAAATGTTGTTCAGAAAAATCAAATTGGGTTTTTTGATAAAAATCACGTCACCTTTCATCCGTGGAGCTCGAACTGCAGAGGCATCTTCAACAAAACTGAACCTCAATTTGGAGCCAAGAAGAACAACCTAACAAGGGTTTGAAAAAGTACCAGAAAATGACAACCGTTCGTTCACAGCTAGTCAATCAATAAAACAAAAACACTATGTTGCTTCATAATTGAAGGTAAAAATGTCTCTGAATGAACAGCTACGCTCTGAGAGATTACTATTGTCAGGGTGGAAATCCACTTTTAATTTAGCCGTAAAAACAGATCAATACCAGACTTCTGTCATATCGATTTTAAACATCAGGGAAAAAGAATATCTATTTGCTTGATTTGTCTGCTTCTTTAAGGCTCTTTCTCACTCTCTCACACACATACGCACATGCAGCAGGTTCAGGTAAGTGTCACAGAGCTCCCTTTTTAATGCGATCCAAATGAGTTCTTCTCAAATGACAAAGCACTGGTAGGCACGTTTTATTTGGGGGGTTTTTTGGTGTTGACCTACTTTTAGGAAGACATGTACAAAACATGAACCCAGTAATAGTTACACCTGTGGCAGAATATGGCCCACATTTCTGTAAATGTATTCACATAATTTAGGTAAAACAGTGATATTCATAATACTGCATATTTAAGAATACATTTATGAACTACTTCGCATTTAAACCAAGGAATACATTTATGAACTACTTCGCATTTACACCAAGGCTGAGCACTGAGTTCTTTGCTGAGTATACTGTAAAAAACTGTAATAATTGTATCCCCCAGCACCACAACAGGCCAAATTTATCCCCACAGCCCAATTTTGCGTCACAACCCATCATTTGAGAATCACTGACCTGAATACGAATGACTGATTTCCATACTTGGGCTTCCAATAAACACACTCACACATGCAGTACACACTCCTATTAACGCTCAGATAACAACAGAGTGACACATGTTTACATCTGCAGTGTAAACAATCTGGTGTGTGCACACACACAGAGGTTACCCCGGGTTCCTTTGGGCACCAGCAGGGGGCCCCCACAGCTGTTGTTATCTTTTGGAAAGGTATACAGCAGGTATCACTTCCTGTGGTGTGCATGAGTTGATAAAGGGCAGCTACCAAACCACACATGCAGCTCCCTTCTCAGTCGGAACACTTCTTTTTACGACGCTGCTGATGAAAATCAACGTCAAAGAACGATGACGATCAGCGGTCAGACTTTTGGAAAATACATCAAAGTCTGGACTTCACATGACAGGTCAGTGGGCCCCAAACTGTGAACACGTCAAAGAAGATACAGAAAATGAAGCTAATAAAACAGTGTCATGGGGGGTGGGGGGGGGAATAAAACCACAATTAAAAAAAAAAAAGACGTGTTTGCTATGACTCAGCGCTAAGGCTATGTTCACACAGCAGTTCTTATTATTGTTATCAAGGCTGATTTTTATAAAGATTACTTTTGTATGTCTGTTTACGTTATTATTTAAAGACAGCCGTCTGACTCCAGTGTGTTCGTCTACGGCTGACCTGAGCAAACTACGGCCCGTGGGCCAGGTACAGCCCTCCAAACGCTGCTACATGGTAAAGACTGATGACGATCCTTCTGGAATTTCTAAGATTCAATATGTAGCTGCTGATGCCACTAAAAAGACAATATGTAGCTGCTGATGCCACTAAAAGCCACTAAAAAGCTTTGAAAGTTTGAAACTTGAGCCACTGCTGGTCCATAGTCCCTGAACAAGAATGTTACAGGTCAGTGTGTCGATCAATTTGGGAGTTGCCAAATCAACATCTGTTAACGTTATTGCTTTGCCATCAGTTGAAGAGCGGCCCCTCTCCCTGTGGCTGAGGCTGTCACTGACAGCTCTCCAGCCTGGAGCCCAGAGATGCCAGCTTTGCTGTCACTGCCACATGTCCAAAGAGCGAGTCATCTTGTTCTTTCTCCTTTCTTTATGCCTGTATTTTCTTGGTGCTCCCTGCTCTGGCCCACAGTTGTGACGCCTGCCTCACTTCAATTATAGAAAAGTCAGATAAAATGTGATGTGACCGTTGAAACCGAGGTTGTTTTGGAAAATCATCCAAAATGTATCAGATTTCGAATCACATATGAAAGTTGTTTGGGTCAGATTAGAAAAGAAAAAAAAACAACTCAGATTTGGACCTGCTGTGTGAGTGTAGCATTAGAGCATTTGTATTTCAACTGGAGGGTTGTGGGTCCAACTCCAGAATCTGTTAGTTCACATGTCGCCCTCTTAGGGTATCAAAATGTAGCTGCTAATTCCTGTAGTGTAAAGCGTCCATCTGGTCTCCAGTACAGACCACTTACCATAATTATTGAATATTTAATCTCTCATCAAAATTTAACGGTACATTTTAGATATGTCATGGGTGCAGTGGTTGTTGGTAATAGTTTTGTCGGTTGTGCAGTTGAATTAATGAAGCTGTGAATATTTCAGAAGCACTCATTCCAGCTGACTGTGGTGTTTGAGTGTGTGTGTGTGTGTGTGTGTACGCATGGTTCAATTCAAACATTATTGTTTACAGTTTGTGTGGTTCATAAAATCTTGATCGTTTTCTACCATCTGTGCAGTCAACTATTGAAGTGTGCGGCCTTGGCGTTCCCAGGTAAATAAAGACTTTATTTCAGACATTCACTCTTTATTTTCTATGTTTTCCATCAGATTGTTTGTGCAGTGCACCATGCAGATCAATAGTTATTCAAACATCAGATGGAAAATATAGTGAATCCATGAATGAGTGAGAGGTGGGTGATGTCAGAAATATGAATACAGGGCCAGAAATGTATCACATTTTGCTGGCTGACTATTGAAAGATGCTTTTATTCACCTTCTACCACTTGATCCATTTCAGGGTTGAAATGTGGGGGCGGGGTGAGGGGGGAACCAATCTCAGCAGCAATTGGACAGTTTGCAAATCCACCACTGGGTCAGATATAGAGACAAACAACCAGTCGTCCTCAAACCTTGTGGACAATGGGAGGAACTGCGCTGCCAAGTGACCCGGAGAGAACATGCAAACTCTAATTGAAAAGACCAGCGATCGAACCAGCAAACAACTAAATAGTGTCATAAGGCAAGCACCGTATTATCATTGGCCAGTTGGTGGCGCTTTGTAAAATACAGTATTAATATAAAAATTTACTAATTAACAACGGAGGTATTAAACTCCATAACCAGCTGTGTTACAGTTCAAAGGTCAAGCATGAGAGAGGAGTGGGTCATAAAAATCTAATACTAATGATTGTCCATTAAAAACCCAGCCCAGTTCGTAGCACGTAGCAGAATTTTTTTTTTTCTGGCTAATTTAGCAGTTGACACAATAACGGTGAATGTCATGATCACAGAGTTAGAAAAAAATGATTGGGTAAGAGCGAGCTAATTATCTGTAATTATGAGGCTGGTGAAGTGACATAATAAATAATTAGAGAAGAGGAAGAGTGTGTCAGATAATCTAATGCCTTCACCATAAGGAACACGTTACTCTGATCACACTGAACAAGTCTGAGCTCCTTGTTGTTTACAATTTTGACCTGAACCCAGACCAAACATCCACCGGCCCAGATTCTGATGAGGCTCAGTTTGATGACATCAAATTAGCCGAGGTGAAGTTGATTGCAACGCACACTGGAGTGTCGTGTGTCATGCAGCAAATCGTCACAGCTGGAAACCCACAGTTACAACACATTACAACACATTTATCAAAAAGCTCGGCAGCACAAGCGGGGGCTGCGGGGCGTTTGCATGACGCCACGGTGAAATGGCATTAGAATATGGCGGCAATGTGATGCAATGGGAATGGATTTTTGCCTGAACATTAAAAAGAGGGGACATAAAATGAAGTGAGGTGGAAAGAGGAAGGGGGGGAGCAGCGAGAGATCACCTTCTTCACAGAAGGTTGAAGGAGGATATGGAGTAATGGAGAAGTTAGTGAGGGTTAGCACCGACAACCAACAGTGTTGGCTGGTGAGAGGCAAGAGTTGAAGGAAAACATAATATTCTACATAATACTGTAGTTCCATGTCCATTGTTAACCCATGTGAGTGCTCTGTTACTAAAGTGGGAAGATGTTTGTCTTTTTTGTTTTTAGATGCTCAAAATGTGTTTACATGTGCAATGCAACATGCACCTGTTGCTGTAAAAAATGATTTCCAGCACTAAGAACATGCAGTCACATTCTCCTCAGTCATAAAAGCATTTTTCAGTCTCTTCTCAACAACAGTAAAATCCCTCATTCAATGTTGGCATGAATTTTAATAATTTTACTTATTACATCTGATATTGTCTGTCGTTGTAAAAACAGCTTAATTTTCAGCTAAACGTCTCCTTTCAATTGCACATCCTTAGGAAACATTTTATTTTCAGTATATTAATGGCTTGTACTTTATGGGAGCAAGTTTTATTTTCTAATTTAAAAAAAGTTGCAAACACAGCAAATAAAGAAAGCGCTCTGTTAGTCACCGAGGAGAAAACTGAGGCGAAAAACCGACAAGGAGGGAAAGGCGTCTGAGAATGAGAGGGAAGGGCCGGACGCAGAGAGAAGGAAAAAGTCATTGATTAAAGAAGAAAACTTACCCTCATCCTGTGCTGCAACTAGGACCAAGAATACCAGTGGAGACCAAACCAGCCACCTGGTCCACCTTGGTGACGGCATCCTCACAAGCAGCAGTCTAGACCTACACAGGGGAACGAGAAGCCACGCTGAGTTAATGAAGGAAAAAAGCAAACTGTGAGATAAGATGTCAGAGAAACTCAGAAACAAAAGATGACTTCATGCCAGAAACACCAGGAATTCAGCTGTGTTAAGGCCGCGTGGGTCAGGAGGAACCACCTTGCCCACACAGCCCCAAGGCACTGATCTGGAGTCAGTTACTTCTGTCTAATATCCACTTTGATACTATTACAAAGCTGCAGTCTAACAGTCTAGACTGACCACAGAGCAGTGACCGGGCTGCCGCCTACACACAGCAGAACAGAGCAGTCTGAGGGCAAAACAGAGGAGGACTTTGTCAGAGAGGAGAGGAGAAAGGAGGAGAGAAAAAGACGACACGAGAACAGAAGAGGACAGAGGAGAGGCGGGGAGAGGAGAGGAGAAACGTAGAGGGAGGAACTTTGATTGACAGAGCAGAGAGGAACAGCTCAACATCAAGTGCCATTTATCAGACATGAGAGCCAACTCAACAGCTCCTCTCCTTGTCTCTCCTCCTCACAGTCCTCACACCACCTCCCCCGTCTCACCTCCTCTCTTGACCCTCTCTTTTTTCTCGTTACTACACGTTTGCTCCTCTTCCTTCTCGTTATCCACACCTCTACATACAAATATCTACTGACATGTGGAAAAACCCAGTTTGTGACCCAATTTGCAAAACAAAACAAGCCGAATTTCAATATTTTGATGACTTTGTTGCAGTACTCTGGTCTTCAGTTTGTATCCACAGGTCTACAGAGGATTTACACAAATATAGACTTTTACAAACAAAACAAATCCCTAGGATCAAATGCTGATGTAGAACCCTGGAAATAAATAAAATTATTTTACATTCCTTCTTTGTTTCCAAATTATTTCTTTCAAACATATTCAATTTCTTCAAATATTCATGAACGAAAAAGTAGAAACATTAAATTAAAAATATAGAAAAAATATAGTTTATTTTTAATGGGCTCACTGGACTAATTATTGTCATTTTAAAAATCATTACCTTCAACACACAAAGGTTTTGACTTAACAATAAAAAGGTCAAACGATAACTAGTTCTGAGACAATTTTTAGATGAACTGGCAAAAGTCAGTGTATCAAAGGAGCATCAACCAGGGATTACAAAGGAGTTTTCTATTAATAAGAGTTACGGCCCCTTTAGAGGTGCAGACCAATGAGGGTGGGCTCAGTGTTGACTGAGAAGAGAAGCTATGTTGGAATCACAGTGTTTTAAATTAAGCTGGAGTTTTGCTGCAATTAAATATTTTATTGTGTCAATGTTGGGGACTCAATACAAGGGGGCGCTGTAGACAGCTTCAAAAGCTGTGTGCAATAACAAATGACAGATTTCACGTGTAGTTGCCTTTTGATATCATAACCTAGACTTTCTGGGAAAACAGTTGAAAATAAATCAATGGTGAATACTTAAATAAAATTATAAATATATATGTAATATATATATGTAAAATGTATTTTTACATCAAATAGCTATAACAGAAATATCATAAATATATATTTGCAACCCAAATATAATCTCCTCTAAATCATCTGCCACCTATTCTTTGTGTGTGATGTGTGAACATCCATCTAGAGGCCGAGAGACAGTTATTCGTGCTGGGCATTGAATCTAATAATAAAAACAAGGACTCGGAACCAAAAGTTGTTCCAAAACTGAATGATTTGTCTGAGACACAGGTGTCACTGAAAGAACACGCAGCTCCTTTTGGTTCAGACTCTCTGAAAAGACTCGAAAATGACAACAACAAAAATGTATGTGCATATTAATAAGCAAATAAAACTTCTAACCAGATTCAATTTTGTCATAAATCACCCTGCGGTGGAGGGAAATGGAATAGAGAGAGAAATGAAAAGGATACAAAGACGTTATTTTCTCTCTCGCACTGTTTGTCCCTGGAATACAGAGAAGGCGCGAATAAAACCGACACAGATTTAAATCAGGATTCTGCTTCACGGTGAGGTGACGGTTATTTTCGGTTCGACTGTTCCCTGCAGTCCAAAGGGAAACTTTGCAAATAGTAAATAATTTCATGAAAAACGGGGTTAAGGCGCCGCCCTCCGTAAAACGGAGTCTTTACACACGTGGGTTTCGAAGGCTATTTGTGGAGAAAACAGTTCTGCGCACAAAAAAAGGAACGAATTACTGTAAAACAACCACAGACGCGCCCACACAGCAGGTTCTTACATGTCGTCCAATGAGTCGAACACGTTACATTAGGATGAGAAAAGACTCTCGTCTTATTTCTAGTCGGTTATTTTGACCTGCGGAGGAGAAGGTAATAAGTTGGACTCACCGACCACAGCCCGGGAGGTCTTCAGAGGAAATGTCAAAGTCCTGATGACTGAGAATTAATCCACAATTCTACACAGCGACGGGGTCAAACTGACAGAATCACTGAGATGATCCTCAGCTGTGTGCACCTGACTGACTGACTGACTGACTGACACTTTACTCCAAGCGCACGCTGCATGAATGAAAGCGTCTTTCATAGGTTACCTCTCCAGGCATCAATCTACAGCCTCCTCTGTCCCCACAGGAAACCTTCAGAATACCAAAGAGTAGAGCTGCTGCTGCTGCTGCTGCTGCTGCTGCTGCGCTGCCTTCTCTCTCTCTCTCTCCTCCTCCTCCTCTCCTCACTCTTTCTCTCCCCTACTCTTGTCTTTCCCTCACCCCCTCTCACCGGATACTGTTCGGCCAGTCCAGTCTGGAGAGGGTGTGTTTTTATTCCTCCTGGTTATTCAGCCATCCCTCCCTCCAGCTATTCCTCCCTGTCCCAACCCCTCTTCCTGCCCGGGATCATCTGAGGGAGAGGGGGGCGGTAGAAGGAGAGAGAGAGAGAGAGAGAGAGAGAGAGAGAGAGTAAGAGAGAGACAAAGGAAAGGAGTGAGGTGAAGAACGAAAGGGGAGTTAAAGAGTGGGGGAGACAAAGGAAGAGAGACAGAGGTACGAAATAGAGAGGGGGTAAAAAGAGAGAGTCAGGTGAGGGAAGGGACAGAAAAAAGGGGTGAAGAGGGGTGGGAGGGTAAAAGAGGCAGAGAGAAGACAGGAGGGAAAGATAAAGAAAGGGAGGTTAAGAGAGACACAGGAGGGTGTTAACGAGAGAGGGGGAGAGAGAGGGAGGGAGAGAGAGAGAGAGGGATGGCACAAAGGATGGTACTAAAGGGGAAAGTCAAGACAGAATAAGAAAGAGGTAAAGAAATTGTGACAGTAAGAGAGGGGGAATAAAGAGAGAGGGGTGGTGAAAGATGGGGGAGGTAAAGAAAGACTGGAGCCTTTGATAAAACTCATTATTTAGTTTGACAGTGTTCCTCAGTTTGTCAAGTTGTTTGTGTGTGTGCATCAGCAACAGGTGTATGATGGTGAGTGTTACATGTTGATCACAGAGACACACACTCGGTTGGAGTGTGTTCTTAAATATTGAAATAGTACAAATTTAATATCTAAAATATATAAATGTCTTAATTGAGGTGGTTGTGGTTTTAGCTGCAGGGCGACATGTGGACCCATCAAATGTTCTGTTGTTTTTTCATGTCGACCATGTTTTCTTGGAGATCTGACTTCAACGACTCCACTAACAGACAAATTAGTGTTTGACATTTTTGGGAAGTTCTCTTTACTTTGGTTGCCAGTTTTCAGTGAAGAAAAGTCACGACTAAGACTGATGATGCTAAGCTAATAGTCACCTGTATGGTTTTCGTCTCCACGAAGTTCGTCTTCACAGAATTCCATTCTTCACCTATAGGTGGAGATGAGCATCACGCTGGGTGACTCAACATCAGGGCTTTGTTTAATGGAGCTGAGGAGACACAAAAAAACTTACTTTTTTTACTTAAAAAACGTACTTTGTGAACCTGTTCATACACTCCACTCATCTGCTGTAAAGGGAGTTTGTGACTCACCCTGAGGGGGAGGCGGGGGGAGGCGGGGCGGAGGGGAGGAGATGAGAA